TCGCCTGGAGAAGAGCCAGTTGTGGATCAAAGCCGAGCAGGATAAGTGCGCGCTAACCGAAAAGAAACTTGCGATATCGAAATCCGTTTACGACAAGCTACGCGCTGAATACGACACGCAATCCAAGATCTTTAAGGTAAGTTATGGACTTCCAAATAAATTATATTCAATAACTAGAATCGATCTCCGTAGGACTTGAAGTCAGCATATGAACAAAAGTTGAAGGTGCTGACTGTCGCCTTAGCCGAAGCCAAAAAGTAGCTGAACAATTTAATAAACTACATATGTTAATTAAATGCACAAATATTCTTTAGAAGTTCAATAATTTAATCAAATTTGTCCTGGCGCTCGTCTAGGCGCTCTGCTTGCCCTGCTGTTGTTGTTGTTGCTGCTGAATCATTTTTAGGGCTGCCGCCTGCTTCATTTCCAGCACACCGATCACAGAATTAAGGAAACGTGTCTTTTGCAAATGTATCTTCTCGATCTTTTCAATCTGTTCCTGGACATACTCGACGCGCCGCTTGAAGTAATCCTTGGAGCCTTGCAGGTCCTGAAACAAAACTCGTCAGCATACCATCAGAATCGCAACTGCATTGGTCGTCACCTTTTCGATGTAGTAGCCGGTGCCGATATCTATGACGAAGTTGTTCAAGTCCTTTATGCGGCCTGGCACATACATGCTGCTTGTTAGAGGAACGAGTATTTGACGGTTCTCCCAATCCGGCTGAAATGCTTCGAGGGCATCTTTAGAGCCGGCGTATTTGGCTTTGCAGCTGTGCAAAGTGGATAACGAATCCTGTATATTGGTCATTTCCTAAACATAAATGCAATTATTATTAACATGTGCAACTGCTGCGGCATTGCAACGCCTTCCCGTCTCTCTCTTTCTTTCTCTCTGGTGAGCAACACCCACACGCGACTGGCACACACTCACCTGCTCGAACTCTTGCTTGATTTGCATTAATTGGTCCGGACTAAGATTGGTGAGATCAATCATCTCGGACTTTGCCGCAGCATTTGCAGTTCCAGCCATAATTTGTGCTTAAACTTATAACTTAAAAAGCGTAAATTTTATTATAATAGTCACACGCAAATCGTGCAGTGTTGTATTATAGCTTTTGGAATACGCTCGATAGCATGACTCACGAAACGGAACTAGTTCATCGATGACAAATATCACACATACTATACTGTTGTTGTTGTCGGATATATCATTAATGACTGTCTAAATAAAATTGGTGTTTATTGCGGGAAGTGTCAAGCGTTTTTTGGCTCTATTTATTTCAAAGAGCAGCTTAAACAAATTTTAATCCAGACATGACATTTGTTCGCCTTGTTGATTAACACAGGCAACCTTTGGACATTTAACAGTGGATCTAAATACTCATATAACAGCAGATGTAATGCGCTCAAATACAACCGCTTAGCAGAGGCTCCCCAGTGCTGGTAAGTGATGCTAAGTTCTTATTTAAAGTATTAACAACTTTTTTTTATAATTGTATTTTATTTATTATATGCAATGTTATAATTTCTTGTGTTTTGTCAGTCATTCTGTATTTGTATGCAATTTTATACCGTTATTTCCATTTCATAAATTATAAAATCTAACATAAAACAAAGCCATTTCATTAACAATCACTGCCGCTACATGTACGTCTAAATACACGTTACGATTTGCTATATATTATAGCCGTTACACATTGTCCATATACATATTCTTTGTCGCTATATACTGGGTATATGTGTCTGTGTGTATCTGAGTGTCTGAGAGTGTATGTATGTGTGTTAATTTCGTATATATATATATATTTATATTAGATAACAATGATATTAAGCCTAAATAGATATAAGTTTAAGTTGTATTGATACATTGTTTTGCATTTCGTACGCATCTGTTTATCGGTTCCTATTTATCGATCATTCAACTATTACATGCTTTAACTAATTTACGGTTACTCATTAAACTAACTGTACTTGCTGTCCTGACCCACTTATCATTTATGGTTTTGCGTTTATCATACATAACATTATTGTTTAATTCAATTTAATAGTTGTATTGTTGCTGTTTGGGGTTTTGTTTTGCTTCTATATTCTTTATATTGTTTCTAAACAATTTATTTATGGCGTGTAGAATTTTCAATAGTTTTCTTTTGAATAATCGCAAGGCAAAAATTTAAAATGAAAATACAAAATAAAAGCTGAAAACTTTTGTGTGTTTTACTTTAAATGCAGAGAGTTTTTCTTGTGCAGCATTAACATTGTGAATATATGTATATATATAAACAAATATATATATATATATATATATATATATATATGTATATAGAGAGAGAAATTTGTCGTTATTTAAGTGGGAATCGTAATTTGGTTATCAACAGCATTTTAAAAAGTTTCAATTCGAAGGGACGTAATACATAATAATAATAATCATAATAATTCATTCATTTCACATTATATATTTGTTTTTGTTTGTGTGTATATTTGTTGTATAGATACATGCATACATACATATATATATATATATATATATATATATATATATATATA